CAAACTAAAGGAGATAAAATGGAAATGAAAGGAGGAAGACCTACTCTAAAAAACTGGAAACAGACTGAGAGAAGATTAAATTTCTTTCCCCATGGTGAGAAAGAAATAACAAGACTGCCACTAAAAATATTTAATTAAAAAATGGAATCTCTTGCCCTGTGAATACCTGCACAAAGACACTGATTCTAATCAAAATTTTCTCCTCTCCAGGGTTTTTCTCAGAGCAATTTTAACATATTTGTTCCGCAAACTGTAGATGAAGGGATTAATCATGGGAACCACATTCGTGTAGAAGACAGAAGAGATTTTCCCCTCATCCATAGACCTAGCAGAAGATGGTTTAAGATACATAAATGCACCCGATCCAAAGAACAGAAAAACAACACCTACGTGGGAGCTGCAGGTACTGAAGGCTTTGGACCTGCCCTCCCTGGAACTGATGCGGAGGATGCTGGACAGGATGAGACCATACGAGACAGAGATGGTGAGACTGGGAAAAATTATGTTGATGCCTCCCACAATGAAAACCGCTAGCTCACTGACATAGGTGCCTGTGCAGGAGAGCTGGAGCAGAGGGAGGATGTCACAAAAATAATGGTTGATGGTATTTGCATCACAGAAGGTCAGTCTCAGCAGACATCCAGTGAGCGTCATGGTATCAAAAAATGCCATCAAGTATGAACCAAGCACAAGCCTAGAACACACTGCAGGGGACATGGCAATGTTATACAACAGTGGCTTACAGATGGCCACATAGCGATCATAGGCCATTGATGTCAACACGTAGCATTCAGAAACGACAAAAAACCAGAAAAAGTAGAACTGAGTCATGCACCCCATGTAAGAGATAACATTCTTCTTTGATAAGAAATCCGTCAGCATTTTTGGAGTAAATACTGACGAATAACAGAAGTCTACAAAGGACAAGTTGAAGAGGAAAAAGTACATGGGGGTGTGCAAGTGTGAACTAAGCCCAATGAGAGTCATTAAGCCCAAATTTCCCAACACGCTGACCATATACATTACTAGGAACAGGAAGAACAAGGGGAGTTGGAGATCTGGTTGTTCTGTTAAACCCAACAGAATGAATTCAGTCACAAAAGAACCATTTCCAGGAGCCATTCTTCACTAAGGGATTCTGTGGACATGGAGACAAAAAGGTACATTAGAAATCAGCTCAGTTCTTCCCCAAATACCTCATCCTATGAGAGAGTATATACTCTAGGAATGTCTGACACTAGCCCAACCTGGACTTACAAAATCTGCCTTTACCATTATCATCATGATATTGAGTAACATGGGATTCCTTTTACCAGAATATTAAGAAGCTAAATAGCAACCGGACCGTCTGCAAATATGACTGCTGGGAAAAGGGAAGGGGAGAGAGAAGAATAGACCAGGATGGAAAGTCCTTCTCCCATCTCACCATTTCCTCATTCATTTAAGCCCTTCCCTCACCAGTAAAATTGGAGGCAGAGACCCTAGTTACCCGGTGCTGGCCTCTAATGCACATTAGACCTGGTGGGGTGGCAACCAAGAAGACTGTTTCCAAATAAAAACTACGGGACCAAAGGCTAGAAGAGGTTAAGTTACTATCTCATGTAGAAGAGTGAGTCTGTCCATGGAGAGGGAATGTACTGACTGAGATACTGCACTTGCTGAGTCTCCTAACCTCTGAATACTTCCTGATCCCCTTAAATACATTATCCTGGAAGTTTCACTTGAATCTCAGGACTGCAGAAAATGGGAAGGAAAGTGGCAGATCTTATATCCCTGGACTTCCATCTCAAAATTAGAAGGTCATTAATATAAACATAATTCAGAAACTCACCCTCCTTAGGCCAGAAACCTTAGTGACTTTGGTGTCCTTGGTATTTACCCCTGTGGTCCTGGAAAGGCAATTTCAGGTTCTGAGGTTTTATTTCATTTGATTCTAAAAGGATGTAGCTCAGACTTAATTTCAGACATGCCCTGGGAATTTTTCTGAACTACAAATCCATTCTTATTGTGACTTTGAGTCTTCTCAAGCAGCAGGGAAAGACAAACAGCACTGTTACCAGGTTTGTCGCTTGATAACACACAGAAGATTAAATGTGAGTTTACTGATATTGTCCACTTGATTATAAACAGGGTAGGAACTTGCTCAGTCTCCCCTACTCAACCTGGAAACAGAGTCTATGTGTAAAAGAGAAATAAGGAGATTGTATTTACACTGTGGACCGTGTTCCGTGTTTAGCTCCTTAGGGACTCAATATTTTCATACAGTTTTCAGGTCACTCTAGGGACAGTACATCCCCCAAGGCAGGGGCAAAATTAAACTCCCACTTTCCTAACATTTTCATCTCCTAAAGAAAATCTATTGTATAGGTTCTTTTGCTGTGTCTTCCCATACCCTAAATGAAAAATTTTTTAGAGTTGCCTGCAGATTTCTTCATATCTTTACCTGAAAATTTGCAAAAACTCTAGTAACTCATTTCAGTTATTGCATCTCCTAGGTTATCTCAAAAAAAAAGTCTATACCTTTCTCCCTTCTAAAGTTTTTACATTTAAACACCTACTGGAAATTTCTACCTCAAGATCCAGCTGGGTCCTTAAATGTTATTATTTCATTAACTGAGGTTATCAGTCCCTTCTCCTTATAGACGAGTAGGGGCCACAGAGTTAGAGGGGATGGGTTTGAATCCTACCCCATGCATTCTCACTTGGACACAGTACTTAAACTCTCCACGCCTCAAGTTCATAATTTCTAAAATACTGATAATAATAGCATCTCTTTCGTTGGGTTGTTTTGATGATTCAATGAAAAAGTTACCTAAAGTGTTTAGAACAGTACCTGGCATGTAGTAAACAGTCAATGTCAGCGGTCATCACATCTGTTCTCAAAACTTTCAGGAGGTCCTCAAATAGAATGCTCATCAGAGATTTTCCCTTTAATTTCTGTGCTCCCCTATAAACTGCAAGTTCTGTAAGGGCAAATGTCTCTTCAGTCTTGTTTATGACTTTTCTCATGGTGTTATGGATAGTGCAGAGTACACAGCAGGTGCTCCATAAACAATGATGTAAATGACATTCTCTGGATGAAAACCTTCGGAATGTTTTTCACATTTCTCAAGTGCTCAGCACTAGAGTCTATAGCCACACTGACGTCCATCCTTTTCCCTCAGCCACCACACAAGCTCAGGTACTCTAGGTTTTAACTGAATTGTAGTGGCTCCAACTATTATTCCAGCTTTGTCAAACATAATCCCTGGTATGTAGCCATATACACTGCTGCTAGAATGAGCCAGTGTAAGAACTTTCAGTGATTCTCAATTATCCATGGCATAATTGAAACACTGTAATAAAAGTCTAAGTATCAGAGCCAGATGAAGTTGCAGATAAAATTAAAGATGAAATAAAATGAGAGTTCAACTTCATAAAAATTGTGAAAGTTCTATTCTCATTATTTTAAGTGTTTTGAGCACATTAAGTATCACACAAATTCTTACTCTACTCAACAAATATAGAAAAGAGAATTGGGAAGAATGTCTATATTTCAGAGACCATAAAAAGATAATGAACCAAAAGCACTAGCCAAGTAAACTGAAGAATATATTTAAAACTTAAGTTCAAATAAGCACATAATCTGTATCAAAATAAACTACAGGTTTTCTCTTCAATGTTTACTGAAAAACTGCCAGAATATCCTCTCCAATATTCATCTGTTAGAACAATATATTTTTATTTAATACCTCAGGAATGTAACTTTTAACCCTTGTTATCAATTAGAAAGTTTCCTGCTTCAGTTACAAAATGCTCAGTTAAAAACTCATTTAAAATAGGCACTTATTTTTCTCACATAATAAATTTGAAAGTACAGCGTCCTAGGGTTGGATCAGCAACTAAACACTCTGAAGGACAAAAACAAAGACAACCATCTCCAAAGAATAAAGCAACAGAACAAGGCAAAACATTGCCCCTCACATCTCTCTCTCTTTATATCATGAAGTGATCTTCTCCAAAAGCCAGTAGATGACTTCCCTTCATGCCTCTTCAGTCAGGACTATGCACATGGCCAACCAAGTTTCAAGGAGTACTGAGAAGATGACAATCTCCCATTTACAGCCACTATCATGAAATGAAGTTTCAGCATTAAGAAGGAGAGAAATGTCAGCTGAGTAGGATACCAGCACAGTCTGCCACAACCAAAAAGCCTGTGAAAGATGTTTATTGTAGGAAATCGTACTTGTTCAATTTATCTGTAGAATATATTTGTTATTTTTAAGTAAATTTACTCTTCTAAGCTTTAAATCAACTCAATGCCTTAGTATATTTAAACTATTACATAAATATATATATGAAAAAATACATATACATAATTAAATATACACTGTGGAGAGAAAAGGACATCATGTTATACTTAATAGAAAGGGCTCCCTTTTTAGTCAAAAAGTATAAGACTATCTAAAATGTTCGACCTGCTCAAAATAAGGAGTGTCTCCAAAAGACACCAAGAAAGTGAAAAAACAACACAGAGAATGAGAGAAATATGTGCCAATCTTCTATTTAAGAAGCACCAGAATCTACATCTAACACCCAGAATGCATAAGCCACTCTTCAACTCACTAATAAGACAAATGACCCAACTTTTAGTTGGATAAATTACTGGAATAGATATTTCTCCAAAGAAAATATACAAATGGCCAATAAGCACATGAAAATATGTTAAAAATCATTAGTTAGCAGGGAAATGGATATTAAAACTGGGACAAAATATCACCTCACACACACTAGGATGGCCACAATAAGAAGACAGATAATACTATTAATGTTGATGAGAATGTGAAGAAATTGGAAACTCATACATTGTCAAATGGTATAGTCATTTGGAAAATCAATCCAGCATTTCATCAAAAACGTAAAAATAGAATTACCATATGACCTTACAGCAATGTGTGAGAAAATATATATCCACATGAGAATTTACATATGCATGTTCATAGCACTTAATAGCCAAAAAGTATAAAAATCTAAATGTCCATCAGCTGATGAATGGGTAAACAAATGTTTATGCCTATACAATGAAATATTACTGAGCAAAGAAAAAGAATAAAGTAC